CATCAAAGCAGCAATTAATCAGAGCAAAATGTCCTGGAGTGGATGGCTTCACAGGTGAATTTTACCAAACATTCAAAGAACAACTAACACCTAGCCTTCTCAAACTATGCCAAAAAATTCAAGAGGAGGAAAGACTTCCAATTTCTTTTGACAAGGCCAGCATTATCTTAATTCCAAAACCAGATAGAGATACTACAATAAAAGAAAATTATAGGCCGAAACACCTGATGAACATAGGTACTAAAATCCTCAACAAAATATTAGCAAACTGGATCCAGCAATACATTAGAGAGATCATATACCATGATCAAGTAAGATTTATTCCCAGTATGCAAAGTTTGTACAATATTTGCAAATCAATAAATGTGATACATCATATAAACAAAATGAAGAATAAAAATCACATAATCACATCTATAGATGCAGAAAAAGCATTTGATAAAATCCAGCACCGATTTATGATAAAATTTCTCAGCAAAGTGAAAATAGAGGGATCATACCTCAACATAATAAAGGCCATATATGACAACCCCACAGCCAACATCATACTCAATGAACAAAATCTAAAAGCATTTTCCTTAAGATAGAAAAGGACAGGGATGTCTGCTTTCACCACTCTTATTCAACATAGTGCTAGAAGTACTAGCCATAGCAATCAGACAAGAAAAAGAAATAAAATAAAAGGCATCCAAATTGAAAAGGAGGAAGTAAAACTGTCATTTTCTTGCCCTGGCCAGTTTGGCTCAGTGATTGAAGTGTTGACCTGTGGACCAGAGAGTCCCGGGTTTGGTTCCTGCTAGGGGCAACATACCAAAACAAACAAACAAACAAACAAACAAACAATCTGTCATTTTCCACAGATAACATTATATTGTTATATACATATATGCATAGCACATTGACATAGACAATAGTGTGGTGAAGGCCTGGGGTCAGGCAGGAGCTGGGTGGAGAGGGGGTGGAATGGGAGATAACTGTAAAACTGTAAAAAACAAACAAACAAACAAACAAACAAAAAAAACCCCTAAAGACCGTACCAAAAAAAAATTAGATATAATAAAAAAATTCAGTAAAGTAGCAAGATATAAAATTAATATTCAGAAATCAGTGACATTTTTTTTTTAATCCTCACTCGAGGACATTTTTGCATTTATCCTTAGATAGAGTGGGAGGGAGAAAGGGAGGAAGAGAGAAACAGAGAAACATTGATGCGAGAGAGAAGTCGATTGGCTGCCACCCACACAACATAAACAGGGGCCAGGGACAAACTGCAACCGAGGTACATGCCCTTAGTGTGAACCGAACCTGGGACTCTCTGGTCCAAGAGCTGACGCTCCAACCACTAAGGCAAACCTGCCAGGGCCAGTGACATTTTTATACACCAATAAAACTGTCAGAAGGAGAAATTAAGAAAACAATCCCATTTACTATTGCAAAAAAAAATATTAAGGTATTTAGGAATAAATTTAACCAAGGAAGTGAAAGACCTGTACTCAGAAAATTATAAGATACTGAAGAAAGAAATTGAGGAAGATACAAATAAGTGGAAGCATATACCATGATCATGGGTAGGAAAAATTAACATCATGATAATGTCCATACTATCTAAAGCAATCTACAGATTTAATGCAATTCCTATTAAAATGCCAATGGCATATTTCACAGAATGAGAACAAATATTCCAAAGCTTTATATGAAACCACAAAAGACCCCGAATAGCCTCAAGAATCTTGATAAAGAAGAGCAAAGTTGGAGGTATCACACTACCTGATATCAAACTATACTAGAAAGCCATAGTAATCAAAGTAGCATGGCATTGGCACAAGAACAGGCATATACATCAGTAGAACAGAATAGAGAGCACAGAAATAAACCCATATCTTTATGGCCAATTAACATTTGACAAAGGAGGCAAGAATATACAATGGGGTAAAGAGAGTCTCTTCAATAAATGGTGTTGGGAAAACTGGACAGGTACATGCAAACCCCGCCCCCCCCCAAAAAAAACGAAAAAACTAGATCACCAACTTACACAATATCCAAAACTAAGCTCAAAATGGATAAAAGACTTAAAAGTAAGTTGCAAAGCCATAAAAATCCTAAAAGAAAACATAGGCAGTAAAATCTCAGACATCTTTCATAGCAATGTGTTTGCCAATATATCTCCTAAGCAAGGGAAACAAACAAACAAAATAAACAAATAGAACTACATCAAACAGAAAAGCTTTTGCACAGTAAAAGAAACCATTAACAAAATAAAAAGAGAACACACAGAATGTGAGAAAATATTTGCCAATGATATAGCTGATAAGGGGTTAATTTCCAAAATATATAAAGAACATATACAACTCTACACTAAGAAGACAAACACTCCCAATTAAATAATGGGCAAAGAACCTGAATAGCCACTTCTCCAAAGAGGACATATAGATAGCTAATAGATATATGAAAAAATGTTCAACATCACTACTCATCAGAGAGATGCAAATTAAAACCACAATGAGATATCACCTCATACCAGTCAGAATGGCTCTCCTCAATAAATCAACAAACAACAAGTGCTGGCAAGGGTGTGGAGCAAAGGGAACCCTCATGAACTGTTAGTGGGAGTGCAGACTGGTGTAGCCACTGTAGAAAACGGTGTGAAGTTAGGTCAAAAAATTAAAAATGGAACTGCCTTTTGACCCAGTGATCCCACTTCTGGAAATATAGCCAAAGAAGCACAAAACACGAATTAGAAAGTATATATGCACCCCATGTTCACTGCAGCATTATTTACAATAGGCAAGATCTGAAAAAAGCCCAAGTGCCCATCAGCAGATGAGTGGATAGAGAAGCTGTGGTATATTTACACAATGGAATACTATGCAGCCATAAAAAGAAGGAAATCTTATCTTTTGAGATAGCATGGATGGACCTGAAGATTATTATGCTAAATGAAATAGACCAGTCAGAGAAAGACAAATACCATATAATCTCACTTATATGTGGACTCTACTAAACAAAATAAACTGATGAACAAAACAGAAACAGAGACTTGGATACATGGAACAGACTTATAGCTATCAGATAGGAGGGGAATTGGGGGGCTAGATGTAAGACAGTGAGGGGATTAAATGAAAAAAAATGTATATAAAACATAGAGATAGACAATAGTGTGGTGATAGCCAAAGGGAAAGTGGTTGGGCGTTGGTCGAGGTGGGCAAAGGTGGATTAATGGTGATGGAAAGAGATTTTGCTTTGGATGATGGGTGTAAAATGAACACAGTGTGCAGATGTTTTGTTGAGTTGTACACTTGAAACCTGTATAATTTTGTGAAGCAATGTCACCCCAGGAAATTCATAAAAAAGAAGACAGAGAGAAGGTCAGACCCACTCTGACCATCCAGCCCTCCAAGAAAGTTCCAAACAGGCCAGACACTTTGGGGGAGCTCAGTGTACTAATATTGGTCTCAGCTTACAAAACAGAGAGGTGGAGGGCTGATCCAAACCAGAATATCACACGCTCCATTTTCCATGTTTGTTGTCTGTGATTTCCACTCAGTTTTAGAAAACTCACTGGAGGCCTCAGCCATACCTGACTAGCTGGTGGTCAGCCAAAGTTTCCCTGGTTAGAGAAGGTGCAAGTGCAGAAGCAGACGGAACTCTGAACAGCAAGCCACTGAGAAGAAACTTCTTAGGTAAAGTCAGAGTCTAAAAATGTTTACAAGACTAAAATCACCTTCTGCATTTAGTAACCAAACAAAAAAACAAACAACCAACAACCAAAAAACACTGCCAGGCTGTGTCGCAAAGGGAAATTTGATGGCACTCGGACTTCAGAGATTATTGCTATAATCTGTAGGCACAAACCTTGAGGGAACCAATTGGCCATTGTAGATTACAATATTTAAATTAAAGTGTGCAAATTTAGACACAACCATTTCTCTTTGAATTAGTTCCTATCATTTTATAAATAAAGATATACCAGTTTTATAACTTTGGAAGATATCTTAAGACAATGTTTGTTCTTGAGTACTACAGTATTGGTGGTGACAGTATATATATATATAAAAAACTAATAATGTTAGTGAATGACTCTCTCCAAAGGTCTTCCCAACACTGTAGATTGTTATTGCACTAAAAAAAACAAAACAAAAACAAAACCCCCCATTCTCTCCTTTTTAAAAAAAATGTTTTTCCCTTTATTGATTTTTAAAGAGAGAGGAAGGGACAGGGAGAGAGAGATTGATGAGAGAGACCAATTGACTGCCTCTAGCATGCCCCCCACTGGGGATTTGGCCCACAACCTGGGCATGTGCCCTGACTGGGAATCGAACCAGCAACCTCTTGGTGCATGGGTCGACGCTCAACCACTGAGCCACACCGGACACGCCCACTCTCTCCTCTGATGCCACAACATATCCTGCTTTCTCAACCAGGCTCATTCGCTGCTTCCCCCATCACTGTCAGAATAAATCATTTCTCTGTCTGTTGTCTCTCTACATGTCCCTATATTCTGTCTTGGGTTAGCGAAAATGACTTGCAAGTTGTTCTTTCTTATGAGGCAGAAATTCCTTGAAGTCAAGGACTTAGTGTGTTCACCCATGTTCATCCTCCTCCTGCCATGAGTAGAGGCTTGGCCATATCACACGCTCAGTGCATATTTCTTCAGTGAGTGAATGATTGGGAGAATGGAGCTCGGGTTGTCTAGACATTTGTTCCTCTAACTCATAAGCTCACGGAGGTAAACACATGAATATGTGCACACGACGCCCCACATGTGGATGCTCTAGGGAGGACCTCGTTGCTCAAATATACTTTAATTCCTGTCTCCTTTTCAGTGGAGGCCCAGCATGATTTACCAGGATGAGGTGAATAAAGTCCAGGTGTTGTACAGTTGGAGAGACATTTTCCTTAGTTTGGCAGGAAAGCCGAGTTTCAGAAGTCCAGAGAGGGGAGCTCTTCTGGTTCCAGTGAACGATGCTATTAGAACCTTTGGCTTAATGGGAGCCCTGGAACTACCCGGAGTATGGTGGTGGCGAGTTCCCTGGTTCTGGGATGACCATTGGGTTTGTTACATAGATGGTTGGGGGCATGACCACGGTCCCCTGGAAAAGACGGGCACAGAAGGTGCACTGGTGAGAACCGCGCATGCACAAAGGCCTTGAGACATTCTGGAGCCCCTCTACTCCTGGGCAGGAAGCGGAAGCCTGACGACCCCCTACTCCCCATGCTCTTTGGGGCATCTTTCCACCCATGGAGGAGCCTACAAACTCACATTGTTTTGTGAATGTTGAACCAGTTGGCAGCCAAACTGGGTACACGTGCAGGCAATGCTGAACTCCAGGAGGCTAAAGATGAACAGCACAGCAGAAGTACCTATTCCAGGGGCCTGGAACCAGAAGAAACGGGGAGGTCATGAGTGCTGCTCATGTCTGGGGAGTCTGCGGCCCGGCTGGAAGGTTGCTCTGCAGAGGACCATGGCTGTGGCTCTGAGGAATCCCCAGCCTCGCCTCAGCCCTCGGAGAACATATCTCACCAGGTTTTTGGGAGGGTCAAGAGTGTTTGTAAAATAATCGTTTTAATGCTTATACCTGTGTTCTTCTGAGGCAAAAACAGTCATTGTTTAGGGGAACACCCTGATAACTTGTTTCTGGCACATGGAGTGAGACCTCAGGATGAGGTCTGCAGTGGGCCAGTGAAACAGTGAAACTGTTTGTGTGGGAAGTGAGTAGAATCTGGGTGTGTGGACAAGCCACAGAGAGGAAGTGAGATGGTTAGAGGAGAAAGACGGGACTGAGCAACAAGACGGGAAGGTGGAGCCTGCAGAAGAAGTCGACCTGTGGGAAATTGAGACATTACAAAAGAGGCATCAGTAGCTACCTCCACCGCCCCTCTGAACCTGTAGAGAACGTGGTGACTGAAACAACCTTCCTGGCTTGTGGTTGTGGCATTTGTGAAGAGAAATAATTGAGACTGTCTTTACCTTAGGAAAACAGTCAGTAAAAGGACCCCCTACTCAGCAGTAGTTGAGCTCACATGAGCACCTGCAGACATCTGAGCCCTTCCCTTACTCTTCACTCAGAATGTCCAGGAGACTGGGACCTCCCACGGTATCTGGGGAGAGAGTTTGGGTAGAATCCACTTTAATCATAAAAGCACAAGGGATGAGGAACTTCAATAACCATTTGGATTCTAATTATAGGAGAGAAGAACTTTGAAGGTGAAAATGGGTGCCACATGGTAGGTACCAAGCAAATGTTTGTCAGTTATGAGTTTCAAAACGGCATTGGTGATGGCTAGCTGCTCAGAGAATCCTCCCCTTGGAGAGACCCCTCCTTAGCACTTTCCTTCCTTCCCCTCGCGATTTAGCAAGCATTTATCAAACATCTGTTTGGTACAAATGGCCAAGAGACCGTCCTGTGAGGCACAGTCTAGTGAGGGAGGAGATAAAGATGTAGGTAATTACAATTTAATTTAAATTAGACATGGTAAGTGTTATAAAACAGCCAGAACATAGTGGCTCAGTGCACTGAGGAGAGACATAGACTCGTTGTCAGTGGAACATGTAATAGTGGGGTAGCTCAGGTGTCCAGACAAAGGGAACGGCATAGTAATGATGTCTTAGTCAAGGAATCACAGAAGCTTAGGCAGGAGGGGCCTTTGCTAATGATGCTGGATGTTTTCAGATGTGTTTTTAACAACAAAATTCTTTTATAAATTAAACTTTCTGATGGCAGGAGGGTTGAGGGGATGGGTGAGAAAGGTGAAGGGATTAAGAAGTACAAATTGTCAGTTATAAAATCAGTCATAGGAAGACAAATTAAGGTACGGCACAGGGAATGTAGTCAATAATACTGTATTAACTATACCTGGTGTCCTATGGATACAGGACTTACTGGGGGAATGACCTCATATGTTACAAAAATGTCTAATTACTATGCTATATACCCGAATCTGATATAATATTGTATGTTAACTGTAATTGAACAGTTAAAAATATTTTTAAAAAATCAACCGTCTACGAAAGAAGAGGGTTCCTCAGGCAGCTTAGACAGTTGTCACTTAGAGAGCATGAATTCATGCTGTTGAGCCCCAGGGGTGTCTCATCCCTTGGCTCAGCTTGGTAAAGCTATGATGAAGGCCAGCACTTCCTGTTCAGGACTGAGGCCAGAGGTGGCAGGCAGCCAGGATGGAAGAGTTCTCTTTCCAAGATCAGACAGGGGCAGAACTGGGATCAGAAACCAGGTGGTGGCGGCTCCGGCCCATGTGGCAACAGACAATCTGGTGAAAATGGCTGGACTCTGGATGCGTTTTAAAGGCGAAACCAGAAGGATTTCCTGCGGAGTTAGTTGGCGGGGAGGTGTGGGAGTGAGAGAGGGGGTCAGAGATTTCGCCAGGGTTTTGTCCCGAGAGACTGGAAGGATGCAGATGCCACCAACTGAGAACAGGAGACTGAGAGGTTTGTGAGAGGATGTGGGGGAAGGTGTGTGAGTGAGGCAGGGGAGCCGCTGCCATAAGTGAGAGGAGGTGAGTTTGTTTGGAAGATGAAAGAAACAAGAGTGTTTAGGGGCCAACAGACAAGCTCTAACAAAGTGGGGAAACTGATGTAGAAGAGAGGGGGCAACAAGGAAGATGGGAGCAGAGCTTCCAGTGATGACCCAGGGCGGGCGGAGAGGGCAGAGCTGCGGTGCAGAGGGAGGCGCTGAGTGTACATGGGACTCATCGATAGCTGCACTTTCCGATCTGGTAGCCACGAGGCCCCTGAGGGCTTGAGATGTGGTGCAAATGGAAAATACACATTGGACTTCAAAGATGTGGCACCCACAATGCCAACTGTTGAATGAACGGTATTTGTGTGTTTACACGAATTTCATGTTTAAATGACATTTTGCATATATGGGGTTAAATAAATGTATCATTAAAACTGATTTCACCTCTTTTTCGTTCATTTCTCAGTGTGGCTACTGGAAGATGGAAAATCACACACGTGGCTTATGTCAGATTTCTATTGGCTAGCACTGGTCTGTAGCCTGAGATGGCTCGTTCGTTTGCGCATTTGCTATGTCTGCTTTCACACTGGGTCGAGTAGTGGCAACAGAGACCGGATGGCCTGCAAAGCCTTCAGGGTTCACTCTCAGGCCCTTTACAGAAGACCCCTGCCTACCCCTTTGTCCACAGTAATGGGCAGCAAGGCCAGCATGTGAGTAGAGGTGCGGGTTGGTGGGTACCTGTGCATTATATGTCTAACCGAAATTAAATATCCCGACAATGTCAAAAGGTAGGTATACTGATTTAAAATATAGAAACTAAGACTAAGAAAAGCCACATGGTTAGAGTAACGTAGCAAAGCTGCATGTCAGGAACTTTAAACTGTTATGATTGTGAGAGCACCTCTCTTTCATATCGTGCCTGGTGAAGAGGCTTGGTGGTCAGGTCTTCTCCAATGATTTCTGAAACAGCGAAGTTGGAACCCAGAAGAGCTTTCGTCAAGAGGGATACTCACCACACCATAGTAAGGATAGTAGTTGGGGTAGAATCGTGCGGAGTTGACACTCATATCTGTGATGAAGAGGGCAATTCCAACCAAAGAACAGACTGCACTGATGATGTTCAAGCCCAAGCTTCCTTTCAGCTGAAGAAGACACAGTTGTTACTTGGGGAGCATGAATTCATGCTGTTGAGCCCCAGTAGTGTCTCATCCCTTGGCTCAGCTTGGTAAAGCTGTAATGAAGGCCAGCACTTCCTGTTCAGGACTGAGGCCAGAGGTCAGGTTGGAAGAAGAACGCAATTGTAGGTGAGATGAGCAGAGCCTCAGCCAGTGTGTCTTACTGTGAATTCCCAAACCCTAGTTGTGCAGGAAGTAAAGAAGTGTTCTGTATAAAAAAGGTTGGGGGTAAATTAACTTTCAAAAAACCTTGGGATGTACAAAGTTAAACAGGTGTTTTATGCAGGACTTGTCATAACCTTTAGCAAGGATCTTGAATCTTCCAGAGAGGGGACTACTAAATAGAGAGTTCCCCCACCCCAAATTTACCTAACCATCTTCATATACTATCTTGTTGGACAATTATTCCCAAATTGATGTTTGGGAAACACTTGACCCATTTATCGCATAGGAGATGGGCAGGACACTCAGCCCAAGTGTCTTGAGATGCCACAGGCTCCGTGATTCTGGGCCTCTTGCAGAAAGGCATGCGCAGAATAAAGCTTCCCTTTGGAGAGTTTCAAATAGATCTCATCTGTGTGAGACCTGGCCATTCTGGGGCCCTCGTTCCATATAACCTGCTTGTGAGAGAAACAAAAGTATGTTCTTGTTCCATTGCTAGGGACCCCCCAGCCTTGCCCACGTGATGGACAGAGCTTGGACAGTGTGATTCCTTAGGGAAGCCTCTGCCTGAGCCTTCCCTGCAGAGATGCCTGGAGGTCGCTCTGTGTTCTCTAGATAGTCTCAGTGACTGCTCTGCTGGAGGGGAGCCCTGCGCCCCTGGCAGCTTTCAGCCTCCTCCTGTTAGATCCTCTTAGGAAAGTTGTTCTGTCTCTCCACACCCTGGTGCCTTCGTGAAGGTGGCTGTATTGCCCTTCCTTCCCCTGAATCTTCTGGACTCTTTCCCGCTTGTGACTCTGGCCAGGTTCGCGTGATCTTGTGAGTATAGGTAAGCATGCATGTCAGTGCCCTGTGTTTGGGTAGAAGTAGGTGCAGGGATTAGGGAGGGAGTGTGTGTGAGCTTCTTTCTAGTTGTGTGTCTCTCCTACGGGTCCACATCTGATGCGACTTACCAGGCAAGGAGAATTTGGCTGCACTTCTGACGACACTGTGAGGGATCCTGTAATGATGAACTGGTGGAGAAGAGAGGGAGTTTAGAAAGAGGTCAGAGGTCATGGCCCCCTCCTTCAGGGTTCTGTGGTTCTGGTCACACACATATTCTCTCACACATCATAGGTACCTCTGCTGGGACCTCCCCTCAACTCGTGGAAAAGAATGAATGAATGAAGGATGAATGAGCTCTTTCACCACATGACAGGGCAGTGAGCTGGGATCAATACAGATTTCAGCATTCAGCAGATCTAGTTGGAGGGTCTGCCTTGAGACCCATGTGATCTTGATCGGCTGTTAATATTTCAAAGTCTATATTTTCTCATCTAAAAAATGGAAACAGTACGTCTTCCTAAGTGTCATTAATTATCAGGAGATAATTAGTTCCTTGCATCTAGCATTTGGCATATCTTGCATGTAGTAGATCCTGTACACAGTAGACACTCAATTAAGTTACTTCTTTTCTTGCTTTTCATTTTCCCACCTGCACATCTTATTGGTCTCCCAACAAGATTCTGTCAGGCATGGGGGCTCTGGAGGGAAGAAGGGAGGGGTTCCCTGAACTTTCATCGCTTTTAGATAAAAGCCTGTCTTCAGTCCTTGCCTGTCTGTAATCTGATGAGTACCTTGTAGTTACCGAGAAGAATGTTGCATCTCTGCACTGCTGAGCATCAACTCTGAGGGTGATGGAGTAGATTGTGTATTTATTTCAACCCCGATGTTCTGTAGGCACAGTGGCAGGCGGGACTCCCTGCTGTCAGTGAGGGTCTGAGTGGGTGTCAGCTATGGTTTAACGAAAGTTCTGCTGAGTCCATGAAGTGCTCTTCATTCTTGCCTTACTTAACTAGACGATGGTCATCAAACACTTAATTATCCCCATTTTATAGAGGAATGGACTGAAGCTTAGAGATGTTGAATAACTCACCCAAGACCATCTAGCAAAGAGGAGATCTGGGGATCAAATCCTGGTAGTTGACTCCAGATGCCATGGTGTTAACCTTCCCCCTACACTCCTTACCCCTCAGGGTAGATGCCTGTCCTTGGAGTGTAAATGGGAATTCACAATGAAAACGCACTCTAGCTGCCTGTGCCTTCTAAGGCGAATGCCATTTATACTATATGTGCAAAGACAAATGTCAATCTTCTGTCCTTCTGTTGATAGAGAGTTGACGGGGATGGAAGAAACAGAAGGTTGGACTTCTACTGTCCCTGCTTTTGAGGTGCTTAAGGTGATGAGCCTTTGAGTTGGAGGGGACATTAATGATCTTTGGACACAGAAAGACAGGCCTGGAGTAAAGACAGCAACGAAGAACAAAGTGCCCCTCAAAAAAAGGGAGTGTGGTGTCGTGAACGCTGACGAGATCTGAGCAGCTTCTTGAGAGGGGAGATGGTCAGCAAGACTTTGGGGTGACTTAAGAGAATCTAACACACGATATCAACTCTTTCATGGCTGCGGTGTTAGTCTTGCGCATTGCTCCAAACTCCACTCTAGGCTGCTATACACACAGGTGTCTGTGGATGGCTGAGTTCCAGTGTAGGTCTGTTCAGGACAGAGACCAGACCTCAGCCTCAGAAATGAAACACAAGCCCTGGCTGGTTTGGCCCAGCGGTTGGAGTGTAAGCCTGCAGATCAATGAGTCAGGGGTTTGATTCTGGTCAAAGGCAGTTACCTGTGGGTTGCGGTTTGTCCCCAGCCCTGGTTGGGGTCATGCGGGAGGCAGCCACTCGATGTGTCCCTTTCACATTGATATTTCTCTCTCTCACTCTCTCTGATCAAAAATGGAAAAATGTCCTTGGGTGAGGAAAAAAAAAGCGAAACAAGAATGGGAACAAGGGAGCATAGGCACTTGGGTAAAAATGTTCCCAAGAACATAAGCCCTGCCATTTTGCAGATGCTGCGTGTTGGAGGGTCGTGGATAACTCTAGGCTATTCTATTTAAATCTCATGGGATAGGGTGACTTGGCTGATGTCCAGGTTACTCTGGAGTTTTGCTATTTGTGAGAAAAGTTGCACTGAGTCACAGATAGCTGTGTGAGTTGAGACAGACTGTGTGATAGCAGGGAGAAAAGGTGACGATGGGGGAGGATTGCATGTGGGTCTGCATGTGTGCATATGTGTAGGAGGCAGGACACTAAGGAAAATGTAAAAGAATCATAAAGGCAATACACAGGACCTGTGGTTCGTAACCTTTGTAGGGGTTCCAGATCACCCTGAGAATGTGATCTAAACTATTGGCTTTCCCAGAGAACAACAACAACAATGACAACAACAGCATCTAATGTGCCAAATAGTTTTCCACCAGGTGGTTTCCTAGCCCATCGTCGGACTCCAGGTTGAGTCCTCCTGCTTAGGGACTGCTCTGTGGTTGGGTGGCCACTCTTATCTATTGGTGGAAACATTTTCCCTGGAGTCCCGGCTGTGGGCCTGTGTTGTAGAACACGTGAATACTGTTCCCAATACACAGTTTGATGTGTGGGTGTGTTGTGTGAATGAGAAAAGGTGCAACCTATGGGATGGTGAACTGGAAAATATTTTCTGACATCTGAGGTGAGGTCAACTACAGACATTTTTCCATTTTCTTGTTCAAATAGAGTGGGAGGGGGAGAGAAAGAGAGAGAGAGAGAGAGAGAGAGAGAGAAAGATGTGAAAGGGACACATTGAGTGGCTGTCACCTGCCCGACCCAACCAGGGCCAGGGACAAAATGCAACCGAGGTACATGCCCTTACTTGGGACTGAACGTGGGTCTGTCGGGACTGCAGGCTGACACTCTAACCACTGAGCCAAACCGTCCAGGGCTGAATTTTGTCTCCTCTTAATCCTTTTCAAAGTCCTGTACCTTAGTACATTCAAATGTGGCTGTGTCAATGGTTTTAGACTCACTACTGTTGGACTTATATATTTTTTGAGTTTACAATGGTGTCTAAGTGATATGCATTCAGTAGAAACTGCTGTTTGTATTTGAATTTGGATCCTTTCCCGGTGAACAATATGTGGTAAGGTGCTCTCTTGTGATGCTGGACAATGGCAGCCAGCCATAGCTCCCAATCAGGAACATGATCACGAGGGTAAACAAGCCATTCTCTACAGTTGTTATTTAGTGCATTTTGACTTAAGATATTTTCAATGTATCGTGGGTTATTGAGATGTAACCCCATGATAAGTTAAGGAGTATTGGTATTTGAAGATAGGACCTTCAAAGAGGTGATAACGGTTAAATGAGGTCATAAGGGTAAGTATTAATACAATATGACTTTGTTATAAAAGGAGATATGAGGGCACACACACAAAGGGAAGACCATGTGAAGACACGGGGGAAAGTTGACCATCTACAAGGCAGGGAGAGAGGCCTTAGAAGAAATGCCCTGTCGACACCTTGACCTTGGCCTTCCAGCCTCCAGAACTATGAGATAATAAATGTCTGTTGTGTAGCCGCCCAGTCTGTGGTGTTTGCTTAGGCTGCCCAAGCACCTGATGTTCTTGGTGAACAAGGCCTGTGCTGGGTTCACAGCCCACATGCTCTCTCTGCTGCAAACTTCTGCAGCAAACTCCACACGTTGACGAGGTGGGCCTCAGTGTGTTGGCACTTTCTGGAACTCACTTGCAGGGTGACTCACATGACTTACCCATATGCCTCCCCAGAAGGGATAGCCTCCGGCCAATGACACAGGTATATAGTACGTGGACACGATGGTCCCCAAGATGCTGCCGAGGCCGATGTGTACCAGGCCGATCAGAATCTGTATGGCCTGTCAGGGGAGTCACAAGATGAGACCTTTGTTTCTAAGGCTGGATCCTGTCTACCCCTCCACACCCCCATGCTACTATGTCTCCTTTATATTTTAATAAATATTTAGTTTTATTGGTCTATAAGGTTATATGGAAAATATAAAAATAAGATTAAAACTTTAATTTCCCCACCTAGAGAATACTACCACTTACATATTGATGTATAGCTTTCTGTTATTTTGTTTTTCAAATATATACACTGATAATATATTATGTTCCTGCATATTTAACTTAATATTTCATCACAAACACATCCCCATGATATTCATTCCTCTTTAAACAGATGCTTTTACATACCATTTTTTTGTTGTTGTTGTTTTTGTGGTACGTGCCCCTAGCGGGAACCAAACCCGGGACTCTCTGGTCCGCAGGCCGATGCTCAACCGCTGAGCCAAACTGGCCAGGGTTTAAACAGATGCTTTTAAATAATTACCCAGATTCCACTGTGTGGGTGTGTTGTGGAGTATTTGGAACAGAGATATTGGGTAGTTAAGACTGTTTCCACCTTTTCATATTTAAACAATGTGATGAATATCTTTGTAGATAAGTCTTGGTGCTCATCTCTTATTTTTATGATATTGTTTAGGAATGAATTGTGTCTGCCTCTCCTCCAACAAATTAATATGTTGAAGTTCAAGCCCCAAGTGCCTCAGAATGGGATCTCATTTGGAAATAGGGTTGCTGCAGATATAACTAGTTAATATGAGGTGTATTGGAACAGGGTGTCCCCTAGAGGGCTGCTATCTTTTCAAAGGATTGCCATATGAAGAGACACACGTGCACATAGGAGAATGCCAAGTTGGAGTTATTCTGCCATCAACCAAGGACCTACCGGAAACTAAGAGGCTGGCTTGGAACAGATCCTCCCTTAGAGCCTTCAGAGGGAGCATGGCCCCATGGATGTGTTAATTACAAACTTCTAGCCCCAGAACTGAGACAGTCCGTTGTTCTAAGCCACCCCATTTGTAGTGCTTTGTTATGGCAGCTCTAAGAAATTAATATGTATTCCTGCTTAAATGGTGTATATATATGTGTGTGTGCTTGTGTGTGTGTTTGTGTGTTGTGTGTGTATATTGTTTCCTTCCATTTTGACAAATGGTAGTAAATTATATGCAATGTATGCCTCTAATTTTCTCCATTAATGATATAGCTTAGGGGGAAAGTCCATATCATTATATAAGGAGGTTTCTTTTAATAGCGCACAACGTTTCATTCTTTGGATGTACAATACATTGATTTAACCAGTATTACACTGATGGATATTTTGGTTGTTTCCACTCTTTTCCTATCACAAACCATGCTGCAACAGATAACCTCATACGTGTCATGCTTCTTGTGTACACAGGTATGTCTGCAGGACAAAGTCTCAGAAATGGAATTATTGGGTATTTTAAAATTTGGCAGATATGGATAGCCCTTTATACGGGTTGTATCGATTTTCATTACTATGAGCAGTATATGGGGGTACAGCTAGGATTTGAACCCGGGCAGCCTGGATCAGAATCCATGCATGTCTTTATTCAGCTATGCAATAAAACTGGCCTCTTCTTGTCCTACCCAGGACAACCATTTGGGGCAAAATCATCATGAGCTTTTATTTTGTTCCCATTGGGCAAAGATTCCATTCAAGCACATTGGGTTTAGACTCCAACTTCTGACTCACTGGACCCACCTTCTTCCAGAGGCTACATGAAGCAACATGGATTCTGGCAACAGGACCAATGTTGCAATTTACTGCTTCTCTTTCTCTTTCCTAAAATTCCTCAGACAGAAAATACAAGCCCACATACTGAGGCCCTGATGCTGCTGCACAGCTGAGCTTTTAAACGGACCTGAGTTTGGTAAGGCTGGGTCAGCTCCAGCACCACTTGCTGGATTTGGAGTTTCCATATTTCCAAACCTCCTCCATCCCCTGACTCCAGCCACGTGACCCCTGGCCTGTAAAATCTCACTTACCCCTAAAACTTTGCCCTCTCTCAAGGTTCTCTGGGCAGGTTGCATATACGTAGGCAGCTCCAAACCATGTGCATTCCCAGGAACTGGGTGGACTTGAGTCTGGTTGAATGGATATACGGGCACCTGAGTCATGCCTCCCAAGGTCACAGGATACCGGTTGTGAGGTGCTATCACAAACACAGAATTGGCCATGGGGCCTGTTGAAGTCATCGAGGTCATGTTGCTAAAAAATAAATGCAATAGGGTCATCCTTCACATGTGCACTAATGTTTCCATTGAAAAAGACTTTCGCTTTTATTAACTCGTTGGTGCATCTCCACCCCCTATGAGTTTATTAATTCTTTTTTTGAGATATTAGGCAGCAGTTAGAGGGTACCTTGGCATTCCGTTCTTGACAAATACATGTCCTGAGAGGATTTCACTATGGCAATGGAGTAGGTGGAAGCCACAGTCACCTCCTCCCTGGGCCAAACTGGAATTACAACTTAATTAAAGAACACTCATCCTGAATAACTAACGAAAGCTAGCTGAACATGACTTTTACAACCGAGCATTTGCAGAAGATCCAACATTGAGATTGGTGGGAACTTTCGAGATAAAAAAAGAAAGGGCTGGCTCTGCTTCCTTGAGCAGCAGCTGTTGTGTGGAGGGATCGCTCAGCTGAGGGTGGGGGGTTCCCCCGGAGAAGCATGAGGCCTGAACCCCAAGCTGATCTCCTTAGCCCAGAACTCCAGACCCAGGAAGAGGCACCCACGTAACATCTCTGGCTGTCTGCCAGGGAGAGATGGAGTCTGCTGGAGACACAGGCACCCTCTTAAAGGGCCAACACACAAAATGTTGTTCACAGCCACTCACCCTGGGCTCCAGCAGAGGGAGTCCAAAGTGGACTAGAGGTGCCTGAGAAGATTCTGGGGTGTGGCTGTGGGGAAGGATCTGGGGAGACAGCCACCAGGATCCCTGTGCATGAATCATTCTTCCATACCACAACCACCATCTTTCTCAGGTGGAGCGCCCTCTGTGTGCCACCAGCCTGAGCGAAAGCAGTTGCCCTGCTCTCTGGACTCCCCCTGGTCCCATGCTGCAGAGCTTAGGAACTTCTGATGAGTTCAGTTTTTTTGGCCAGGGTGTAGAGGTCTTGGCAGACTCAAGAGGTGTCCGTGACCGAGTTGTGTACTTCGGGGGGCAGGGGCCATACTCCCCACTTTCCTGTGATTTTGATGGTTGCTTTTTCTTCCCAGGGGATCCAATAGAACCACCCTCACGGCTTCCAGCAGACCCAACCTCTGGGCTCTGGAGGCCCCACCTGCCCAACAGAATTCATGAATTAGCTCATCTTTGTGGAGGTCAGAAGTCAGGCATGGCATAACCGGGGTCCCTGATGGAGGTATCACAAGGCTGAAAGCAAAGTGTCTAACCAGGCTGAATTCTTCTCCTTCTATTTTTTCGAGCACACAACAAAAAACTAGTACAATAGGCCCCCCCCACCCCCCGGACTCCACACCACGCCAGAGTTATCATAAGTTTCATTTGGCAGAGAAACCTTATCAGCATCTCTGAGTTACCCATAAAAAGCATTAGATTAAATGTACTCACTTTGTTCTGCCAGTGGCTAGGTCTCTCTTGCTCCTCTTCCTCAGTGCTTGTTGTAGCAACTTGCTTTTCTCCAAAGAACAAACACACTGTGTTCCCTTGGCTGGTAGGTTTAGAAAGATCCAAAGTCCTTCTCATAGGTGCAGTGTCTAGAGTTCCGCTTCCCCACCCACATTTACTTCCTGTAATTGACAAGGAACCCATTAAATGCAGTTCAGTTGGCTAAGTGTTTAATGGTGTCTGTGTGGACAAGAAAGGGTTGTGCTTAGTCCTTGGGAGGCACAGACATGAATTGATCAGTGTCTGCTTTTTGGGGAACCCAAAATAAGAAACCCACCATCTTGGTGTTAGAAAACACTGCTAAGAATAAGAGACTATGAGACTAAAGGCTGAAGTAGACATGGAGGCTGTATCTGTGGTTTAACCTTCCCCTTCCATCAAATGATACTCCCGTCCCTTCTGTGGCATCCCTGCCAGTTCTGAACACTTCCAGGAGTGGGGAACTTGTTCCTCCTCAAGGTTCTCCTGTTAGAGAAAGGTAGTACTGTGAATGGATTATAATCCCCTATTCACCTAGAGAGAACTGAGTATCCCTATAAGATTCTGTGTCTTTACAGTGATCCGACCCACTCTGAGCATGCTGATGTTTATGCATACTTTTCTTCATTCTCATATCACTTGAGAACCGGAAGAAAACAGAAGGCAGTCTTAATGTGCTTAACTGAAGGAAGATTAGTGAAGGACCTATTGACAGACATGTGGGCAGGGTCATGCAGACCAAAAGGGCTGTTGACACACTTGGGAACCAATAATAGAGGGAAGCTGTTACCTTAAGACTCGAGGGACAAGGGACATGAACCATATGACTACAGCAGGAAGAGCTGTAGCCCAGGATGTGAGCTGACTAACAGGAGCTGAGGTCCTAGACAGAGGAACTCAGCGACTGCACAAACTGTGACCAGAAAAGGGAGGGAGAACTCTGACTGCTTTCTCCTCCCGACTTCCAGATTCATTGGCTGAACCCCCAGAAGGATCGAAACAAAGGTGTGTAGGTGAGGCAGTTTTCATAGGTGAGAGTACAGGGTACAGAGCAGGACAGGGAAGGGCTGTGCTGGCCATCGTTCACCTGCCTCTCCCGACCTCCCCTCTATCCTTCTCCATTCTATTGTGTCCATAGGGACAACATTTATATGGGTTTCGTCCACACGAACCCGTATCCTGTGACTTTGGGTTTCAAACAACGGGACACCCTATTAGAGGATTGGAAGAGAGAAAGGGCCTAGAATTGATTGTCTTGGTTCCTCCCTGTAGTGTTGCCAAGGGCTGGCAGATCTCTTGACCAGAGGTCGTCGCTCATGTTAGTGGTCCTCTCCATGTGACCCTAATTTTCTGAAGTCTAGGGAACTGGTCTTTTCTCCTGCCTATTCATGCTTAGTTGCCTTTGATATAGGATAAGACTGTGAAAATTATTCATTAAGTTCTGAGCTCAGATCATTATACATAAGTTTATCTTCTTTGTGAATCCCTGGTAGGACTTTCCAAAGGCATGAGAGACAATTGATTTTTGTTTAGGATAGTCTGGAACACTCAGAAAGTCTAGCATCCTGGGCTCTATTCTCTAAATGCTTTTAGTGACTCGCCACCTGCCTCACTCACTGTGACAAATTCTAGCATGTTCACAAATTCTCCAGAAATCGCACGATGGGATGGTACTTTCTTTGTCAAGGAACTGTGTCTGTGTGCCTGTAGATGGGTACCTTGTGATCTTATGCCCCTAATATTTGTGGCAGCTAGATTTACATAATTGAATTCTTAATTAGGATAGAGGTAGAGGCTTCAACTAAATGTTTCCGTTGCTGTGGTTGTCTCGTAGCTTATAGTCAAAGATTATAAAGCATGCTTATCATGTTTTAAAAGCCAGCTTGTAAGGCAAGTTCTAGGAGAAATGTTTAGAGGTACACTTTGGAAAAGCCGCAGGCTGCTGCTGAGAAGACCTTGGGAAGCGGGCTCTGGGGGAAGAACCTGCTTTACCCTCTGTGCTCCAGAATTAAGGTGGACATCAGAGTAGAGAGCGTCTAAGATACTGATTGGTCAACATTACACGAGTCAGCTTTGTGGGATCTTTCTTGCCTCTTCTAGTGCCACCCAGATTCAAGTAAGGTACCAAAAAGAGCCTGCTATGCTCTGTCATTTCTTTAGTGGTCCTGGGTCATTGTGGATTCAATGTGCTCATCTGCAGCAGCAGTAGCACAGACCATGAACTGAGCCCCACCCCCAAGCAGCAGCAGAGGATGGAGAGCTGAGTCCCATTCCCCAGCAGCAGCAGCAGCAGCAGCAGCAGCAGCAGCAGTGCAGATAGCGAGCTGAGCCCCAGCAGACAGTAGCAGCTCCTGGGGACCCATACACCTCAGCTGGACCCATGTACCCCAGTATCACCTATGATGACACAGGATTAAAGTGAAGGGATGGGAAAAAAAAACCTGGTATAGCAATACCCATATCTGATAAGATAGACTTCAAAATGAAGGCCACAGTAAGAGACAAAAAAGGTCACTGCGTGATATTAAAGAGATTGATCCATCAAGAGGATATTACCCTGATAAACATATATGTACCACATATAGGAGCCCCAAAATATATTGAAAAACTTCTGGAGGACTTCAAGGAGGAGATCAATTGCAATAGTTCCCACAGTAGGGGACTTTAATACCCACTGACATCACTGGATGGATCTTCATAAAAGTAACAAGGAAACGGAGACCCTAAAAGATCAGCTGGATTTAACTGATATTTACAGAACATTTCACTCAAAGCTGCAGAATATTCATTTTTCTCGACTGCACAAGGAACATTCTCAAAGGTAGACCATACGTTAGGGCACAAACAAAGTCTGTGTAAGGTCAAGAAGATCGAAATCATATCATCTTCTCAGATCACAATGGCATGAAACGAGAAATCAATTACAACAAAAACACTCAAAAAATATTCAAACTCACGGAGACTAAATCGCATGCTATTAAACAATGAATGGGTTACCAATGAGATCAAGAAAGAAATAAAAAACTTCTTAGAAACTAATGAAAATGAACACACAACAACACAAAATCTATGGGACACAGCAAAAGCAGTCCTGAGAGGGAAGTTCATAGCGACACAATCCTACCTTAAGAAACAAGAAAAATTTCTAATAAACTGTCTAACCCTACAACTTATATATTTAGAAAGAGAACAAAAAGAAAAACCCAGAGTTAGTAGAAGGAAATAGATAATGAAGATGGGAGCATTTGTCCCAGTGATTCCATTTTATAGGACTGTATCCTAAGAAACCTGAAACACCAATCAGAAAGAATATATATGTACCCCTATGTTCATGGCAGTGCGACTTACAATAACTAAGATCTGGAAATAACCCAAGTGCCCATCAGTAGATAAGTGGATCAAAAAGCTGTGAACACAATAGAACACTATGTAAGAAAGAAAGATCTCTTATCCTTTGAGACAGCATGGAGGGACCTGGAGAGTATTATGCTACGTGAAATAAGTCCACCAGAGAAAGAGAAATATCACATGATCTCACTTATTTGTGGAATATAATGAACAAAATAGATCCAGAGACATGGAAGTTGGGAACAGACTGACAAACCTCAGAGGGAATGGGGTGGGTGGTGGGTGGGTGGGAAGACATAAACCAAAGAACTTATATGCATATACGCATAACCAACGGACAGAGACAATAGTACAGTGAAGATAGGTGATGGGTATGGGGTTGGGGAGGAATGTCAAAGAGGGAAAAAGGACAGACATCTGTAATAAAAATCAATTAATAAGTATAAAAACAATAATAAAAATAAAGGGAAATAAAGTACACTTTGCACCCTGGCCCATGTGGCTCCGTGGTTAGAGGGTCGCAATTCACACCAAAGGGTCTCGATTAGATTTCTGGTCAAGGGCACCTACCTTCACTGCAGGTTCAATTCCGGCACCAGTTATGGATCAGGCAGAAGGCAACCAATTAATATGTCAATCTCACATCGATGTCTCTCTCTCTCTCTGTTTCCCTTGATCCCTCCCTTCTGCTCTCTGAAAATCAAGGGAAAGTATCCTTGGGTGAGGATTAACAAAATGAAGGAAGGAAGGCAGGCAGGCAGGCAGGCAGGCAGGCAGGAAGGAAGGAAGGAAGGAAGGAAGGAAGGAAGGAAGAGAGGGAGGAGAGAAGGAGGGTGGGACGGAGAAAGGAAGGAAGGAAGGAAGGTCCACTTTGCTTGAGTTAATAGAGAAATATAGCTAGTTAAGTACTAAACAATGACAGCTTAAAGAGTGGCAACAATGGTCACAAGGTGTCTAGTTTCTGCTTTTCACTTTTTTAAACTTTATTTTTATTGTTGGCACTAGTATTACAGATATCCCCATTTTCCTTCTTTGCCCCCCTTTACCCATCTCCCACCCCCTTCTCTGTGGCCATCACCACACGGTGGTCTGTGTCCCTACATTATGCACATATAGTTTTTGGCTAATCCCTTCACCTTCTTTCATCCAGTCCCCAAACCCTCTTCCCCTGTGACAGCTGTAAGTCTGTTCCATGTATCCATGCCTCTGTTTCTATTTTATTCATTCAATTCCACATATAAATGAGATCAGATGGTATTTATCTTTCTCTGACTGGCTTATTTCACGTAGCATAATAATCTCCAGGTCCATCCATGCTGTTGCAGAAGGTCAGGTTTCCCCCTTTTTCATGGCCATGTAGTATTCCATTGTGTAAATGTACCACGGCATTCTACCCACTCTTCTCCTAATGGGCACTTGGGCTGTTTCCAGATCTTGACTCTTGTAAATAATACTGCTAGGACCATAGGGGTGCATATAGTCTTTCGAATTGGTATTTCAGAATCCTTATGATTTATTTTCAGAGGTGTGATCACTGGGTCTAAAGGAAGTGCCATTTTAAATTTTTTGAGGAAACTACATATTGTTTTGCACAGTTGCCACACCAGTCTGCATTCCTGACAGTGCATGAGGGTTCCCCTTTCATCACATCCTGGCCAACACTTGTTTGTTGATTTGTAGATGGTGGTCATTGTGGCAGGTGTGAAGTGAT